TTTTGACCAAGAATTCCATCTAATGTTTACAAAAGAAAACTTTGTCTCTCCGTCCACAAAAGAAGTTTACACTTTACACTATCTTTAAATGGATATCCCAGAATAGAGTTTAAACTTCCTTATCTTCCTATTAAGGAAAAGGATATGTGGCTCACAACATTTCTCTTTTCAAAACAAATTTCTACAATGCACTTCACTTTTCAACACTTTTCTCAAACTTTGAAAAGTTGTAAAGTTCATTTTGGGATGGAAGGAGTATATATTTAAAAGATTTTAACTTTAGTCTTTATTCTTGCAACTTTGTTTAGAAGTGTTAGAGTATCTCACACCAGAAGTATGAAGAGAAATTAATGGATATATAAGCTCTTAAGTTGAACCAAGTAATCGATTGGATTCAATCTTTTGATGTGGTTCAACCTAAGTATTTTAATGGCCTAGTCTAGTGATTCTTACACATCTTAAACTCTATCATGGTATCGAAACAAGTTTTGGTCCACCTTGTTTATCAAGGTGTACATTTAGAAGTTCATTCCCAGCGGCTCGTAAGTCATTGATCTAGTTGTCCGTATCACCGTATGTAGTATATATCCAACGGATGTGGTCCATTTAACCTGATTGTACGTCCGACGGTCCATACCCTATAACTCGTGGTCTTAAAGGTGTTGCTAGATGTTCATTATTACCCCCATGCTTTCAAAACTTATACTATTCCCCTCATCGTTTTGATATTTCTACGCTAATACCCTTTTAGATTAAAATACCCTTTAAATCTTAGGTGAAGCTCCAGTGCCCCATGTGGTTTTGGAAATAGGCACCAACGCTACCTCTCTTTTTTCTTTATTGTTTCTCTTTTTTCTTCTCTTTTTCTATAAGTGTTTTTTAAATTCTTTTTTAAAACCATTTTTTAATAAGAACATCTTTAGTGTGGTTTGCTTAAGGATGGATCTTAATTAAGATATATTTGCTTCACGAGGCAACTCTCTTAATGATAAAGCAACCGGCGCTTCAGATGTGCTCCACATCAACTTTTTAAGTGGAAGCAACTCATTAAGCACCTTCCATTAAAGATGATTTAAGAGCATCCATAAGCCAAAGTTCTTCCCAATTTTTTTTAAATTTTTTGTAGGTCTGTACACGTCATTTCTTCTACTTTTTTTACAAATGAAGCAACTTTTAAAGGCATAAAAGCTGACATGCATGAAATACAAACTAAGGTCTACCCAGCCACCTTAGTCCTTTACCTCGAGACATTTGTACCCTAATCATATCCTTCCAATTCTTCATAGGTTTACCTCTACCCCTCTTCACGCCTCTTGTCACAAGTCTTTTGCACTTCCTCATCGGGTCATACTTCTCCTCACTACTAGGTTAGTCCAGCTTCAAACAGCTTATCCTCCATAGGGACCACTCCCTCTCGTCCCTGAATAACCTCATTCAGGACCTTATCCATCCTCATATGACTATACATCCACCTCAGCACCATTACATCTCTGCCACTTGAGATTGTTAAACAAGAGTTTTCTTCACCACCAACACTGCTCTATACGACATAGTGAGTTTGACCTCTATCCGATAAAATTTCCCTTTCATGTTTGTCAATGTCCTCATGTCACAAAGGACACCTACAACTAGCTTTCACTTTGCCCGATCGGCTCCAATCTGATGAACAACATCCCCATCTATCTCTCTATTAGCCTGAGTGATGGATCCAAGTCATTGAAACTTGTGCCTTTTAGCCTTTTTAGGTACTGGATGCGAATCAATCTCACTTCCACTACTGACTTGGCCCTCCTATCACTGAAGCAATACTCCACGTATCAATTTTATGTCAATGTCAGATCATCTGTCAACAATACAAAGAGGGGGAGATACCTCCACTGAGAAATGGCCGAAGTCACCTCCTAATGATCTCACCCTGGTCCTTGCCCCATCATACATGTCTTTGATTGCACCGGTGTATGCAATAGGTAATCATCTAACTCTAGGCACCTTCATACGGTCTCCCTAAAAACCTTTTCATATGCTTTGAAGTTGATAGACACCATGTGAAAGTCCCTCTTTTTGTGCATATACCGCTCCATGAGTCCCCCCCCCACCCACTCCAGAGGTGAATGACCACAGTGGTTGACCGACCAGACATGAAATCAAAGCGATTCTCAGAAATGCTCACCTCCTTTTTCAATCTAGCCTCATTGATATGTTCCCCGACAGTCATGGTGTGACTAAGTTGTTTGATGCCTCTGTAATTATGACAACTATTGATAAGACCTTTGCCATTGTACAACGGGATCACCATACTCCTGTTAAGTTGTGGAGTCTGATGTACTCCATATTATACTATAATATAATGGACCGTTAAGGCATTAAAAATTATTGTTCTTGCGGTTCAATATTCTCGTTTTAGGATGTATCTTTATTCTTCTCACTTCTCAGTGTAGTCATTTTATAGTGTGTGTTCTCTTTTACACTATATACTCTAACATAATCAACATATAGCCTTACAGCCGTGGACTTAACCCATTGAGCGTTTCCATTTTGATTTCTTCATATTCCTCTTCATCTAAATATGTGTGTGTGTGTGTGTTATCCTAACAACTCTCCCTCCACTCACCAGGCATCTAAATAGTCCCAAAAATAACATTAAACAACTTGGTGATCCACACCAACCCAACGCTGCCCATTGCCCAATCTCCCAAAACTCCATTGGAANCCCCTCATACTCTTCAAATGCCTCTCACCAACTCCTTTCTAATTTGTCGACAATACCCAATCTTGATGACTCTCTGATTGCCACAGGTCAGCAAGTAGCACACTCTCGTCCCTTCCAGCATCCATAAGCCCACCAATGTGCGATTGCCACCGGGTTCTCACCTCCAGCTTATCAAAAAAAACATGCCATCCCCACCTTTAACACATCTTAGATTTTCTAGGTTTTGCGCCTTCTCCTCACGCCCTTTGGCCAACCAAAACAGTCTCTTCTCTCCTCCCCACTTTTCCAGGTTCCTATATGGACCTTCAGAAGTTGCATTTTTAGCCACCAAAATCGCTCACTTAGTGTCTTTATGGGCATTCTTATACTCTTCTAGCAACACCCCCTAACCTACTCATCTTTGCACTCATGAGCCTCTTATAAGCCACTATCTTGGCTTCTGCTTTCCCTTGAACTTCCCCACTCCACCACTTGACTCCCAATCACTAGACTAGATAAGATGTAATCAAATCAAATCCAATCAGATCAGAACCAATCAAATAAGATCTTTTTTAGATTAAAGTAGACAAATGCAGAAAAATTTTGAAAAATAATGCTAATATTTTTTCCTATTATTTTATAATAATTATTATATGACTAATTTATGTTAAAAAATAAAACTTATTATTATTATTATTTAAGTAATCATAAATTATCCATGTGTTACTAAATTATTGTCTTGTTTCAAAAATAGTGCAGAATTGCATCTCTTTTAAAATAATATTTTTATAAAAAAAGTATATAAATAAAGAGTACAATTTACGTATTTAAAAACTAATTCAAATTCTACAAAACAAGTAGGCCCCATTTGGCAACAACGTTAGAGTTTAGTGTTAGCGTTTTGAAAAAGTCTATCTAATGGTAGTCTTTAGCATTAGCATTTTTAGAATGAATCTCAGCATTAAAATTTTATCCAAAACGCTAACACTAATCGAAAACGTTGTTCCCACACAAAGCCATAGTGACACGTATTTTATTTTATCAAATAAGTAATAAAAATACATCTGCAAAAAATTCATCCGAGACTTGTCATAGTATACATGATATTTTCAGGGTGGAAGGAGCAATAGTTTTAATAATGATACTCTCTCCGTCATATAAAAAATTACTTATTTTGTCTTCATGAAAATTTAAAAAGTGTGGAAATGATAAAAAAATTATAAAAGTAGTTAAATTCTTTTTAAATGGGTGCGAAATATTTTTGAATATATATATATACATATATATACATACATACATACATACATATATATATATATATATATATATATATATATATATATACTCCCTCCGTCCCATAAAACCTTTCTCCTTTTTTTTTTATCCGTCCCATTAAACACTTCCCATTTCTATTAAAAAGTCACTTTTACCCCTTACTTTTTCATACCCTACCTATCACATCATACCTTTTTACTAATAATCTATCCATCAAATCATACTTTTACCCATCACATCAAAGGACATTTTTGGAAATTCAATACCAAAATACACTCCCCTTAAATTCCTCTTAAAAAGCAAAAGTTCCATGTTTTACGGGACGGAGGGAGTATATATATATATATATATATATATATATATATATATATATATATATATATATATATATATATATATATATATATATGAGAAAGATAAAGAGTGAACATTTTTGGGACATTTACAAATAAAATATTATACTAGCATGATTTCTAACACGAGTATTGTAATCTTTACATTTTCAAGATGATTAGCACAGAATAACAAACGTTATCATTCTTGTAACATAGTATCCGTTTTTTTCAACAATTAGTAATTCTCAATGATTTTCTCTTACTAGCTCTTCAATATGTTACTCAATTTTTTTTGTTTAATGAAACACATTAATCAATACTAATAATAATAATAAAGTTATTATAATAATTTTAACTTTTATTTGATGAGGTCCAATAAGACCAGATCAAATCTAATTAGATCTATTCAGATAACTAGATCAGATCCAATCCAATTAGATCATACCAGATCTTCCAAAAAACGAGATCATTATCAAATAAGATTAGGCTAACAACACAAAGCCTAAATGGTAAAATAAAAGGGGTTTTTATCTAGGTCAAAAGTGGGGTTATAAGGTCATCTCAAATAATCTTGCAGGGATAAGAACACATGCATTGGTGTGCGTCTAGCATAATTGTATGTTACGTGCTCCATAGACTATAAGAACACACTAACTAGTAGACATAGTTACTGATAGGTTGACTTGGTTTAATTGGTCCAACCGGTTAACCCTTGTCCCACTTGTTTGTTTGGTTCGAAAAAGAACATTCTTCAAAAACTTTATGAGCATATTGTTAAAAATATTACAAACATATCATCACTGGATGGGTATACTTGATAGGGAGGTATAAATTTCAACAAGTAGAAAATAATCAATGTATGTTGATCATAGGGGCCACAACGACGGGGCTTCTCACCTTATGCTTGCCGCTGTCCCCAACCCAAGCCACTGAACCAAACTCAACTTCTCCCTTTTTACTACCCTTATAGGTGAGGGTGAGAGCGTACTCTGCGGTCTCATACTTGTTCATGAAGGAAAGTGTTCTAGTGTTGAAACTAACTTCAAAACTCCTGGGTAACTGGCTGTCATCGACCACGTACGTTTCCGGGTCATCCCCCACGCTCGTGACTGTCCTTTTAAACATCCGAGTGACATTTGTTGCAGTTGCTGAAGCAGCAGTTCCATTTTTGTTGAGTGCGTACAAGAGAATGAAGGACGGGTAGTTGAGATCAGAAGATGGGTTCGAGCAATTGTATTTGGATCTGGTGATTGTTCTAATTTGGTTCAGAGTAAAGTTCATTGAACACAAAAAGTTGACGTAGTCCAGTGTGGTGGCATCATAAATGAGGCCAGGGTCAAGTGCCCGGTTCGGATCAACTTGTCCTCCCCCCATTGACAGAGGGGACGCAATGGAGTATTTGACTGCCGGGTCCTTTATAGGGGCATTGGTATTGTCATTGGGATTGGCCGTGGTGATCATGGCAGATCGAATCGCGGCTGGACTCCAATCCGGATGTGCTCCTTTGAGAAGTGCTGCGATTCCCGAGGAATGGGGACATGCTATGGATGTGCCGGAAATCAAATTGAAAGGGCTGGACAAGTCTATATCGGGTGAAATGTAAGATGCAGAAGTCTTTGGAGTCCAGGCTGCTAGCACTAAAGTCCCCGGTGCCATCAGGTCTGGCTTTAGGATCCCTGGAGAGGAAGGAGAAGGGCCTCGCGAAGAATAACTCGCCACTACGGGATGTGCCTTCACCCCGAGCATTGTTTCCTGGAACTGAATGCTGGCATACGCATTGGTGACATTTCTTGCATACTCGATAACTCCCCTAGAATGTTTCTTGCTGATCATGATGCCTGGGTATGGAAAGCCCGGGGATTCGAACACGTCCGGATCATCATCTATAACAAAGATTGCAGCCCCAACCTCAGATTTCGCCAGAACACTACATTGGTCTAGGAACGAGTTGTAGTTCTCGGTTTTACAAACGACCATCGAGCCAATGAAATCCGAAAGCAGGCGAGTTGAAGTGCAGGCAGATATGGTTTTGTTGTAGACGAGAGGCAGCTCGTCGATGATGGCGGTGACCGGGTAAGTTGTCCATCCAGTGATGGTCTTCCCATTTCCCATACGCAAAGTCCCGGCATAGGACCTGTCAACGGAGCCGGCAGCAGTTGTGAGCACCCAAGGGAATCCATTAGATAAGCTTCCAAGTGGCGCCGGGCCTTCATTTCCTGCAGCGGCGGACACAAGAATGCCCTTCTCCATGGCACCAAAAGATGCAATTGCAACGGCGTCTTCGTACACGGGGATGAAACTAGTACCACCTAGAGATATGGATATCACATCCACCCCATCGGAAACCGCCATGTCCATACCGGCAAGAACGTCAGAAGTGTAGCCTACTTCACCCCACATCACCTTGTACATGGCCAGCCTAGCTCTGGGTGCGACACCCTTTGCCGTCCCAGGAGCGTACCCGAAGAACGAAGCGTCCTGGACGTAATTCCCAGCTGCGGTTGCAGAGGTGTGGCTTCCATGGCCACTGTCATCCCTGCCTGAGTTCATATAAATGGTAGTGTTCGGATTCGCAGCCATAACTCCCTTGTTGAAGTACCGAACACCGATAAGCTTCTTGTTACAAAGCAAAGAACTGAACTGCTCCCCTTCTGCGCAAGTGCCATTCCACCTCTTCGGGATCTCGTCCGGCATCCCGTCGTCTCCGAAGCTTGGGCTCTCAGGCCACACTCCGGTATCAATGACGCCGATGATCACGTCATTGCCGTGTTCGGAAGCAGGCCACAGCCCGGTCTTCGGATTCAAGGAGAGGAAATCGGTGGTGCGAGTGGTGTGAAGGGTGACGCCGGCGTCGGGGTATGCCGACATGAAGCCTGGGGTTGTTTTGAGGAGCGCAAGTTCTTCTGGGGACAACACTGCACTGAAACCATCTAAGACGTGGTTGTAAGTGTAGAGAAGAGGAGCCGGCCGGCTGGTGGTCATCTGGTCCGGTCCCTGTGTGTTGAGGAGCTTTGCGGAGTTGACAAGTGAGTTGTACCAGTGATGGTGGGAAGCCATATTTGTGGGCATTTGTGAAGTGTCCATATGGACAATGTAGGCCTTGCTCTTTTCTGGGGTCGGCGTACATGTTTGGAACCACAGGAAGGGGAGGAAGAGAACAAGTAATGTGGCTTTAGGGAGACCCATTTGTTGTCCTTTTTTTTTTCTTTTCGGACTCGCCTCTTGCTGAGTTAGGGCCGCACATTTATATCCAGGAGGGGTGACTCACTTCCATGACTCTACTTGTATGTTTCAAATACTAAGGTCTCTGTATACACATTAAAAAAAACAAATACCCCCTAATCCGGTTATTATGTTCAGCTTACCTATTTTACCATATGAGAGACTTAGGGCACTAGAAGTAAAACATTGACATTTTACCTAAATATGGAGTAGGATTCATTGTACTCCGCCTGTTTGAAAAAAACAGTTTACACATCTCACATAACACTTCTACAGTTCTACTCTTCTTAAAATATTTAAAATACCCTCAAAATAACTTCTGTCTGCAATAGAGGAGAAATAGAGTGTACTTTAGACAGTTTATGTGGGGTAGAAACATTATGTGGATGCGCAAAAAATGAAGGCAAAACTTTTTCTTTTTCAAACGGAGACAATATTTCTTTCTCAAATACAGTAGGACGTACTACCTATGTCTCAATTTAAATCGTCTGTTTCAGTTTATAATATTTGATTGGAGTTATTTTCAACACAATTTATTTAAGAATTTGGGTGAAAATAAAATTTACACATCTAAGAATTACGTAAAAAAATTTACGAAATAAGGTGTGGCATGACTATTATTTTATCAAATTAGTAATAAAAATAGTAAAAGAAAGTGAATGAAGTTTGACACTTAGTAAATATGCAACTTAATTTGAGAAAAAGGGAGATTACTTAAAATTAATATTAATGCAATGCACCCAAATATCTTTTTTACATATATTCTAAAAGAAAAATCTTTTTCCCATATTTATACTTTGTTAAATCCTAGGTCACATAAAGTGAGTTCGAATTCGATTGTGAGTGTGAGTGCGGGTGCGTGAAAGCGATAAAATGTTAAAATACACGAGTGCGGGAGCGCCTTAAAACATCAATTATAAAATAAAAAACAACATATTTCTATCATCATAGAGAAAAAAAATAAAATGTAGGGTACATTCATATCATTAATGCTTAAAAACAAGATAAAACATTGTGTGGAAAGGAATAATATTTTCGATTAATGTTAACGCTTTTGATAAAATTTTAATAGTTTAGATTAATTTTAAAAACGTCCACGCTAAAGGCTACTATTAAACAGCCTTTTCAATACGTTAATGTTGCAAAGCAAGGCCAAAGCATAACAATTAGCTATTTTGTGTTCAAAATATGCAAGATTTTCCTTTAAAATTCTTTCAACGAAAAGAAAATTAAGGTGAGAGCCTACGAGTAATTATTGATGAACAAACATAGCAAAATGTCATAATTTCAAGAATTAATACCCCAGAATAACAAAAACAAGGATACTTCTCTATGCCAAAAATACTAAGAAAACACGTAGTAAAAAAAAGGTAAATTCTATTATTAACCTAATATAAGGTCCACAGTGTACCTATAAATGAGGCTAATAAGTATTTGCTTAACGTTGAGATAAGTATTTTTATTTTTTTAGTTTTTTAAAAAATTAAAAAACTAATTTTATTGTGAGAAGGTCGACAAATATGTTGTGCACCTTAGGTGTACCAAAGAAGCACTAAAAAAAATAAACACTTTGCAATAAACATACTTTAAATTTCAGAAAGGAAAAAAACAAATCTAACAAATCCTAAAAAGAACACAAAATAGTGAAAATACTACGAAGTAGTTTCTTGCCAAAAAAAGTACAGAAAAAACTAAAGCAAATTTTCAGAGATAGAAAAATCCTTCTTATTTTACTCCACAAACAGTATTTGCAACAGATATCCAAATCTGCTTCCATTTGCATCGGTTTTCTTGGAAGTACGGATTATGGATGCATCCAAGTATCCAAATTTTTTTATTCTTCTTTTATATTTCAATCCTTTATTGGAGCAAAGTAAACCATAGTGCGCGACTTACTAAACTTTAGTGCGCTAATTAAAATCTATTAGTTCGTCTCAGTGGATAGCCCACACTCTCAATTAGCAAATTGAGCGGCAATAATATTTCTTTCACAGACGAATTATGTGATCTGGTTTAAACCATATTCACGATTCCCCCGCCTGTGGGCCATCATATTCCACCGCCATGGTCGCCGTTTTCATAGTCATCTTCATTTTTAGCCGTTTTCAATGTTAAACCCTATCCCTCTAGACTCTGCCCCATGTGAAGTTGTTTGTTATTATTTTCAGGGTCAAATTTCATTTATTTTTTTATTCTATTTTTCATTAGTTGTTTGATTAAAAATAATAGGAAAAAAGACCAAAGTAGGAGTAAAACATTGAAAATATACTAAAATAGCACTTTCATGTTTTTATTCCCGAAATAGGACTTAAAACGCTTTTACATTGCCAAACATGGTCATGTACATTACCAAAAAGTATAGTAATGTACACATGTATAGTGCCACATTACAAACACATTACCACATTGTGAAGTTATATTTCAGAAAAAAACATGAAAGTCTTATTTTGATACTTTTCTCTATGTTTTAATCCTATTTAGGGTGATTTATAAAAATAATATAATTATGTCATAACTAGTTTTATAGATCTTTTGATCTAAATAATATAATTATGTCATAACTAGTTTTCTTTCATTATTTTCGTTTGTCATTTAATAAAATATTCCCTCCGTCCAATATTAAATTTCCACTTTCTTTTTAGGGATGTCCACAATTAATGTTCCCATTTCCATTTTAGTCAATAAAATTAAAGTAAAAAGTCTTTTGATATAGTATATTCATGTTTCTCTTAATTTTGTATATCTTTTGATGTAGTTTTTAAATATGTAATCTTTAGTTTTTAATTCTACATCATTATCATATAAAATGATTTGAAAATAATTTTAATAGAACATTGTAAATTAAAATATGCAACTTAATTTGAAAAGGAGGGAGTACTATTTAGCACAAATTCCACTAAAAACAAGGAAAAATCAAAATGGGAGCATTATTTTAGAGGGAGTAATGGTCAAAGTGTCAGACATTTCAAATATATCTTGAAAATGAGTATCAAATTTTAATGGAATTTTTGGAGTATAAAACTAGTTAGTAGTTTACATTATATTTTACTCCGTATCTCTTATTCTTACACTAAAAAAGTTAACAAGGGTTAGATCTTACATACTCTGTATCTGTTCCTAATAATGTACGGAATATTGAAGAATAATATTACCACGATGACAATGGCATGTGATTTTCACTCTTTTCTCAATTTTCCAGTCAATTTTGCATACATTTACCTCTCTAGTCAACTCTAGAAGGCAATTTTGAGTCTACAGGTAATTTTGAATAGGAAACTAGTGTCCAGTAATAAAGGAACTGCTCCATATATGCAAGTTGTTTTAAGAGTTTGTTTTTTTTTTGTACTGAAATTTAACAAAATAAAGATGTTACTATATACTTATAAGCTGGTCAAAATTACTTATGAGTTATTTTTAATCTATAAGATCACTAATTACATGTTTCCATGTGCTTATAAACTAATTTATAAATAACTTTTAAGTCAGAAAAAATAAGTATGTCTTATCTACTTATTTCTAAATCAGTTTTTTCGAAACTTTATTTTGACCAAATTATTAACGAAACTATTTCTAACCATTTATGAATATTCCCAAATGATTTATCTATTATTTTAGTTATTTTACTTTCATAATGGTATATTTTACTTATAAGCAATTTATAAATTAAAATCTACTTGCAATAAGCCAATAAGTATTAATACTAATACAGAGAAATGCTTCTAAAATTCAATTAAAGAAAATTAATTGAAACTAACTTTTGCAAAAGTCAATTATAATTTTAATTGAAGAAAACAGGAATCATAAACTCAAAATAACTCGATATTAATTGATGCTGTACGTATATTTTCCTTGAGGAGTGAAATATATCTTGCTTTCGGTTCAAAAATAACTCGATCTTTTTATGTATCATACCAAATAAACTCATATGTTTTTTATATCGTATCCTTCTCAATAAAGAAATAATTTCCTTAAAATTAAGAAAGAGATAACTCTAAATAGTACTTCCTCTGTCCCACAATACTGTTCTACATTTCCTTTTTTATCTGTTTCAAAATAGGAAAAAGACTAAAGTAAGAATAAAACTTTGAAAATATACCAAAATAGAACTTCTATTTTTTATTCACGAAATAGAAGTTAACATGTATTTACATTACCAAATGTGGTCATGTACATTACCAAAAAGTAAAGTAATGTGCACGTGTACAGTGCTACATTACCTCCATATTACCATAGTGCGAACTTCTTATTTTGGGAATAAATAGATGAAAGTCCTATTTTGATATTTTTTTCTATGTTTTAGTCTTATTTAGGATTATTTCTACTCAAAATAAGATTTCATTTTTTTCTTTCGAAATTTTTTTTTGTGACTTTTATTATTTCTCTCTCTTCTATAACTTTCAAAAAAAAACCTTACAAAAGTTACTCCAAAATAACTTTACATACCAAAAGCTACATCATTCTCAATTTTCCAAACTTTAAATATAAAACATACGTAAACCTTACAAATGTAAATCTCGTTTATGAAAGTATTCCTTCCATGATGTTCCATCATATATCTTTCTCCCACTTTTGACTTTGGTAATCAAAAATTTTAAACTTTGATCACAAATTACAAAAAAAATATATTGAGCTATGATGTAAACTTAATATATACCAACATTTTAATTTTGAAACTTAGTTTTAAAATATCAAATTATTATCATATACGTCTATACAAAAATAGAAATATTAATAGTTAAAGCACAATAAAAAGTTAAAATAGAAGAAAGATATGAGACGGATGAAGTAAAAAAAACGAAGATGATTTTAACTTTAGTGTAAAATTTGTGATTTAGACCTACCATTACACCATTACTACCACACTACTTCAATTACGTCAAACCAAAGGAACTCATCAAGAAATAACGAAACATGTGGCACTTTAGCTAGGACCTTATTAATTGTTGTGTTGGCTTGCTTGAGAAACAGCAGGTTCAAAGTTTCAATGGCATGGGGTGACAATGGCCTGAATTGGGGTCCTTACAGTGTCCATTCGAAAAATTGA